TTATGATGTCTTGCCTACAGGATTCATAATGACTTTGACACCATTTTCATGGTTCATTGGACAATGTTCAAGTTTTATGATGTAATAGGTCTATTCACTGTTCCTTGGTTAGTTCTGTTTCTCAGATAGTGTAAGCATAAGGCCATTAATATATTGAAAGATTGTTCTAGGTATATCTGTCCCTCTGATAGGATTTATCCAACCTTGACCTCATTTCATAGTTCATTGATGTTAAGGTTTTGTGATTAGGTCTGTTTCTCAGATACTGTAGGTAACATGTCAACTACATTTGGTGTATGGAATAATTGCAAGGTGGGCATGTAAATCTGGCAGTGATCATCACTGATAATGTTGAGTTTGAGTGATACCTGTAGTAAAACCTTTATCTTTAAAACTTTAAACACAAAATTCAGTTATTATCAGTTTTCTAGTTTTTATTAAAATCCTTAATTTCATGATTATTTGAAATAACTACTGTTAATTTCAAAATAAATGTGTTTATTTATCAACCCTATTGTAAATATTGGATATTGACAATGATTACAGATAAATCAATCATGTGATTCCTGTCTGTTCTCATGTTTTTTTTCAGTAATAAACTCATCCTAGACATTTCTTAATTTACAGTATAAATAATTGGAAAGGATTGTATGTTAGAGTGAAGTTTTATTAGTCTAATTCTTATGTTATTTTGTATGATGCATTTTCATTGTATGCACAGTTAAGTGTTCTTAAATTGGATAGCAGATGATGATTTTCTCACTGAATACTATATACTTACTGTAAGGTCCATTTGACAGATTTGAAATTCTTTTTTTTTAGTCTGCTGAAGCCAATCTTTTTTTTTTAGCTCACCTGACCCAAAGGGTCAAGTGAGCTTTTCTCATCACTTGGCGTCCATCGGCGTCGTTAACTTTTACAAAAATCTTCTCCTCTGAAACCACTGGGCCAAATTAAACCAAACTTGGCCTAAATCATCCTTAGGGTATTTAGTTTAAAAAATTTATCCGATGAACCCGCTCACCAATAAAGATGGCCGCCATGGCTAAAAATAGAACATAGGGGTAAAATGCAGTTTTTGGCTTATATCTCTGAATCTAAAGCATTTAGAGCAAATCTGACATAGGGTAAAAATGTTCATCAGGTCAAGATCTATCTGCCCTGAAATTTGCAGACTAATCAGACAACCCGTTATGGGGTTGCTGCCCCTAAATTGGTAATTTTAAAGAAATTTTGCAGTTTTTGGTATTATCTTGAATATTATAATAGATAGAGATAAACTGGAAAACAGCAAAAATGTTCAGCAAAGTAAGATCTACAAATAAGTCATGACCAAAGTTGACCCCTTAAGGAGTTATTGCTCTTTAAAGTCAAATTTTCACAATTTTTCGTAAATTTTTGTAATCTTTTACAAAAATCTTCTCCTGAAATTACTGGGCCAAGTTAAACCATACTTGGCCTAAATCATCCTTAGGGTTATGTAGTTTAAAAAACGTATCCGATGACCGCGCCCACCTACCAAGATGGCCACCATGGCTAAAAATTGAACATAGAGGTAAAATGCAGTTTTTGGCTTACATCTCTGAAACTAAAGCATTTAGAGCAAATCTAACGGAGTTAAAATGTTCATCAGGTCAACATGGTCAAAATTGTCAATTGACCCCTTAAGGAGTTATTGCCTTTTAAAGTCAAATTTTCACAATTTTTCATAAATTTTTGTAATCTTTTACAAAAATCTTCTCCTCTGAAACTACTGGGCCAAATTTAACCAAACTTGGCCAAAATCATCATTACAAAAATCTTCTCCTCTTAATCTACTTGGCCAAATGGAATTAAACTTAGCCACAATTGTTTTTAGAGTATCTTGATTGAAAAATGTATCCGATGACCCTGCTCTACAACCAAGATGGTCCCCAGTGGTAAAAATAGAACATAGGGGTTTACTATAGAAGTCCATGGGAAAAATGTAAAAAAAAAATTTGAAAAGGTCACAACTTGAAAACTAATTTAAATAATGATAAGGGGTCTTTAGTAACTATTGTAAGACTACAATGGGATGACTTGATTTTTTTCCAGGGGGTGCAATTTTTTCAGAGGAGGCGGTGCTAATAATTTCTCCTTGATATGTTCCATTTTCAGAATTATTCAGTGTTACTTTTTCTATAAACCAATATTATATCTTTTCTTTCAGCATACTTATATTGGGTGAATGCACCCCAGACCTGGTGGGTTAGTCGGGGTCAGGGGAACCCCTGCCCAAATTATTTTTGAAGGGTGTTCCATAAAAACATTTAAAGGCATTTTCAGAATTATACAGGCCCTGGGTGAAATAAATTTTGAGCGGAGGAAAGGAAATATTTTATTTTTTGTTAATTATCTTGAATATCATTATAGATTGAGATATACTGTAAACAGCAAAAATATCAAACAAAGAAAGATCTACAAATAAGTTAATATGACCAATTGGCAATTGACATCTTATTGGAGTTATTGTCCTTAAAAGTTATTTTCTGCAATTTATTGGTAACTTTTGTAAATCTTTTAAAAAATCTTCTGCTTTTAATTTAACTACTGGGCCAAATTAAACCAAACTTGGCCTCAATCATTATTAGGGTATATATTTGATTTTAACTTTATTTTACATGATTTCCAAAACCACAGTAGATACAGGTGGGCAACACGGGCTCTTGAGAGCCTCTAGTTTTTAAAATATATTAGAAAAACAGATATTGCTCCATTGATAAATATCCTTCAATGAAAGAAGATTTAGTTTTTGCCCATATTTTGCTCTATGATTTAAAAAAAACCCTAAACAGTGAACTTTCTGATGGTTGTATAGTATTAAACCTATAGTTGTTTACATCTTTGTTCCTTGGTCTTTTGTGCATTGTTGTTTCTGTTATCATGCCACATCTTCTTATTTTTATATTTTTGTCTGGCCTGCAACAAATATCTCAGAATTGGGGACATAGGGATGCTAATCTGGATCAGCATCTTGGTAAATCTTTTGTATAAAGCTGTATATTTCAGTAGGAATACGCACATATTTCATACTTTACATACATAATTTATGTACTAGTCTCTGAAGTTTCTGTCAGGTATTTGTCTATTTTCATGGTTCAGCAGCTGCCCAAAAAAGAAAACAGTTTATTATTTGTCATGTTATTTTCTCACTTATGAGTAATAGGACAACAATATTTGATATATAGATCATTGCACAGTATACACGTTAAGTTCTGATGGTTATGTCAGTCAAGTACAGGTGGTTATGTCAGTTAGATTCTGGCTGTTATGTCAGTTAAGTTGTGGTTATTATGTCAGTTAAGTTTTGATTGTTATGTCAGTCAAGTACAGGTGGTTATGTCAGTTAGATTCTGGTTGTTATGTCATTTAAGTTCTGGTTATTATGTCAATTAAGTTTTAATTGTTATGTTAGTTAAGTTCTGGTGGTTATGTCAGTTAAGTACTGGTGGTTATGTCAGTGAAGTTCTGGTTGGTATGTCAGTTAAATTTTGGTTGTTATGTCAGTTAAGTTTTGATTGTTATGTTAGTTAAGTACTGGTGGTTATGTCAGTTAAGTTCTGGTGGTTATGTCAGTTAAGTACTGATGGTTATGTTTGTTAACTTTTAGTTGTTATGTGAATTTAGTACTGGTGGTTATGTCAGTTAAGTTCTGGTGGTTATGTCAGTTAAGATCTGGTGGTTATGTCAGTTAAGTTCTGGTTGTTATGTCCTTTAAGTTCTGGTTGTTATGTTCGTTAAGTACTGGTGGTTTTGTCAGTTAACTTCTGGTTGTTATGTCAGTTAAGTAGTGGTGGTTATGTCCGTTACGTTCTGGTTGTTATGTCAGTTAAGATCTAGTTGTTATGTCAGTTACGTACTGGTGGTTATGTCAGTTAAATACTGGTGGTTATGTCAGTTAAGTTCTGGTGGTTATGTCAGTTAAATATCTGGTAGTTATGTCAGTTAAGTACTGGTGGTTATGTCAGTTAAGTTCTGTGGTTATGTCTGTTAAGTTCTTGTGATTATGTCAGTTAAGTTCTGGTGGTTATGTCAGTTAAATATCTGGTTGTTATGTCAGTTAAGTACTGGTGGTTATATCAGTTAAGTTCTGGTGGTTATGTCAGTTAAATATCTGGTTGTTATGTCAGTTAAGTACTGGTAGTTATGTCAGTTAAGTTCTGGTGGTTATGTCAGTTAAAGACTGATGATTGTGTCAGTTAAGGACTTGTGGTTATGTCAGTTAAGTTCTGGTTGTTATGTTTGTTATGTTCGTTTGGTACTGATGGTTATGTCAGTTAACTTTTGATGGCTATGCCTGTTAAGTTGTGGTGGGGTGGTTATGTCAGTTAAGTTCTGGTGGTGTGGTTATGTCAGTTAAGTAATGGTAGTTATGTCAGTTAAGTTCTGGTGATTATGTCAGTTAAAGACTGATGATTATGTCAGTTAAGGACTTGTGCTTATGTCAGTTAAGTTCTGGTTGTTATGTTTGTTATGTTATGTTTGTTATGTTCGTTTGGTACTGATGGTTATGTCAGTTAACTTCTGATGGCTATGCCAGTTAAGTTGTGGTGGGGTGGTTATGTCAGTTAAGTTCTGGTGGGGTGTGGGGGGTTATGTCAGCTTAGTTCTGATGGTTATGTCAGTTTCTCAGATTCTATAAGCAATAGGTCAACCATATTTAGTGAATTGAATGCTTGTAAGATGAATGTATGTCTGACATGGCTCAACCTTGACCACATATATTGGTTTATTTGGTCAACATAAAGTTACTGTAAGCAATAGGTCACAATTTTTGGAGCATTGAATGATTGTATGGTGAACATGTCCTTTTGACCTTATTTCATGAATCATTGATAATGTTAAGTTGGTGTGATATCTGAAGTAAAACCTCATCTTAAAGATTTTCAATACTTAATTCATTTGTACCTAGTAAAGCAGGCATGGCTTTTCAGTGTGTGCACTATTGTTACCTAAACTTTTATTTCTTTCATTTCCAGGAAAGTGAGCTTGCTGTTAAAAGATTAAGATCAGACTATAGCTGACATGGAAATAATCACGATGTAGAAGTACAAATGTACCTGACCAATTAGATTTTAGCAGCATTAAATCCTGGGAATTTTATGTTTAATTACTTGGAGTTGATTAAACAGTTTATGTATCTTATTTACCATTTCATATATATAAGGAAACATGTCAAATACAAATGGCTGTATTATGTAATGTTTATTGTGAAATCATGATATCTTGTAATTAAAATGTATCTTATAATCAGGATATTTACCTATTTTAGATACTGAATTTGATATTATCGAATATCTTTTTAGTTCCATCAAATGGCAATTTTTCTAGAAAAACAAAATTAGTTTGCAAAATAAAGTTGATATGGAGCATGCATGCAACATTGATAAGAAGAATTACATGTTTTATGTTTAGAAGTACTATGTGTCATGAATTTTATGATAATCATTACAGTAAAAGTCATTCATGTGTAACCATTTTTCATGGAAATGTCAGACAATTTAGATTTTATTAAGAGATACATATTAAAATAAATATTCCTCATGTGCTCCATATCTCCTTTTACTCATACTGCAAAATGGTTTATTTCTAGGGGATTAAATTTCAACATTGTCCAGACTTGTTTGTAATGTTTAATTTAGCATTTTTATACCCCACCTAGGGGCATTATGTTTTTCGTTCTGTTTTTTGTCCGTCCGTTTGTCTGTCTGTTCTTCCATCTGTCCCGCTTCAGGTTAAAGTTTTTGGTCAAGATAGTTTTTGATGAAGTTGAAGTCCAATCAACTTGAAACTTAGTACACATGTTCCCTATGATATGATCTTTCTAATTTTAATGCCAAATTGGAGTTTTGACCCCAATTTCACGGTCCACTGAACATAGAAAATGATAGTGAGAGTGGGGCATCCGTGTACTATGGACACATTCTTGTTCTCATTCCTGACTGTTATCTTCCTTAAAGATCAAATTCAGAGGAATATTTTTCACAATTTTAAATTATCGCAAAATAAGTTAAAAAAAAAACCTTGGGGAAAATTTTCCACTTTACAGTAAAACTCAAATTTCTTTGCAAATGTGTGTTTAGGATCTGACATGTTTGTACTAGGATATAGGTGTATTAGGATTATATTTTGAGAAAACGGGTTATGATATCTTATGCTGAAAAAAATGCCTTATTTCCAGCTCTGTATTTGTAAAGTCAGATGCTTTCTCATCATTATTATAACCATTTCAAGCTTGATTGATTGATTGTGTTTAATTCAATGTCAGATCTTATTGCCAGTAGGCAAATACTCACATTATATCTGTGCTAAATGTCCTCTTTTACACCATAACTCATGTAGGTGCTCCTAATGAAAGGAGGCTTATACAAAGCATACATACACATTACCTCAATCACAACAAAATTTCACACATCTTAACAGATATACAAAAAGGGAATAGAAGTAATATATAATTTATGAATTAAGCAAGGTCTATCATTGAGCTTACATCCGATATTGTTTTAAAGCAAAGGTAATTGTATACAAATAGATTTATGAATAAAAAGAGGATTTAAAGCAAAGTATATATAATTGGGTGATCTATCAGAAATTTTGATAAAATTTTGTATGCATTTAGAACTCATGCATGCAACTGAATATACAAAAATGATACATGTAGCATTTATGATTACAGAGATAGAATCAATTAAAAGTGGTGAAAAAAGGTCTATAAATGTATAGAATGTACATGCAAAGCCTTATGTTTTTGCTGAAAACATTTCTGTTTTAATGGTATGAAGATATTAGGGGGTCACCAGAAATTTGCCCTAATTTCAACCAAATGAAATTGGTACAAATTATTATACATGTTCATGTCAAGAGATAACAAAAACAACTGCAGACAAAATTATGACCAATAAAGAATATCCTTCAGACAATTTTTATACGACCGCAAAAATTGAAAATTTTTTGGTCGTATATTGGTATGACGTTGGCGTCGTCGTCGTCGTCTGGCGTCGTCCGAAGACACATTGGTTTTCGCACTCTAACTTTAGTTTAAGTGAATGGATCTCCATGAAATTTTACCATAAGGTTCAATACCACGACAGGAAGGTGGGGATTGATTTTGGGGGTTATGGTACCAACAGTTAAGGAATTAGGGGCCAAAAAGGGGCCAAAAATAAGCATTTTTGTAACCTCCAGACAATAACTTGTGTGTAAGTGTATGGATCTCTCTGACATTGTACCACAAGGTTCCATATCACAAAGGGAATGCTGGGATTGATTTTGGGGGTAATTGCCTCAAAATTTTAGGAATTAGGGGCCAAAAAAGGGGCAAAAAACAAGCATTTTTCTAGTTTCATGACAATAACTTGTGTGTAAGTGTTTGGATATTTCTGAAATTGTACTACAAGGTTCCATATCACAAAGGGAAAGCTGGAATTGAGTTTGGGGGTAATTGCCCGAAACGTTTAGGAATTGGGGGCCAAAAAGGGGCCAAAAATAAGCATTTTTCTAGTTTCCAGACAATAACTTGTGTTCAAGTGTAATGATCTCTCTGAAATTGTACTGCAAGGTACCATACCACAAAGGGAAGGCTGGGATTGAGTTTGGGGGTGATGAATCATAAGGGGGTTCAAAAAATTTGGGGGGGGAATTTTTTTTTTCTTTTTTTTTTCTTTTTTTCTTTTAAAATTTTCCATTTTAAGTTGGTTATTTCTGATTAATATTTAAAAGCAAATAATAATGATATGGTAGGAGATACACACCAAACAGGATGTGTAAATTATTATATAATAAGTATTGTGCAATAGCAAGAAATTTTCAATTGCACAGTATTGCACAATTGCAAGAAATCTTCAATTGCACAGTATTGCGCAATAGCAAGAAATCTTCAATTGCACAGTATTGCGCAATAGCAAGAAATATCCAATAGCACAATATTGCGCAATAGCAAGAAATTGTCAATTGTACAGTATTGCACAATAGCAAGAAATATTCAATTGCACAGTATTGTGCAAAAGAAGATACTTCGTATAAATTGCTTATTTCTTGATCAATTTCAATGGGGTTTTATTCTTGAATTCTTGGAGTTCTTTAATATGCTGAATCTAACCGTGTATTAAGTTTTTGGATTTTGGGCCCCGTTTTTAAATTGGTCCACATTGAGGTCCAAAGGGTCCAAAATTTAACTTTGTTTGATTTCATCAAAAATTGAATAATTGGGGTTCTTTGATATGCCGAATCTAACCGTGTATTTAGATTCTTAATTTTTGGTTCCGTTTTCAAATTGGTCTACATTAAGGTCAAAAGGGTCCAAAATTAAACTTAGTTTGATTTTAACAAAAATTGAATTTTTAGGGTACTTTGATATGCTGAATCTAAACATGTATTTAGATTTTTGATTATGGGCCCAGTTTTCAAGTTGGTCCAAATCGGGGTCCAAAATTAAACTTTGTTTGATTTCAACAAAAATTGAATATATGGGGTTCTTTGATATGCTGAATCTAACCATGTATTTAGATTTTTGATTTTTGGGCCCCGTTATCAACTTTGTCCACATTGAGGTCAAAAGGGTCCAAAATTAAACTTTGTTTGATTTCATCAAAAAGTGAATTCTTGGGGTTCTTTGATATGCTGAATCTAACCATGTATTTAAAGTTTTTTATTTGTGGACCCGCTATCAAATTGGTTCATATTGAGGTCAAAAGGGTCCAAAATTAAACTTTGTTTGATTTCATCAAAAATTGAATTATTTGGGTTCTTTGATATGCCAAATCTAACCGTGTATTTAGATTTTTAATTTTGGGTCCCGTTTTTAAATTGGTCTACATTAAGGTCCAAAGGGTCCAAAATTAAACTTAGTTTGATTTTAACAAAAATTTAATGCTTGGGGTTCTTTGATATGCTGAATCTAAACATGTGTTTAGATTTTTTATTATGGGACCAGTTTTCAAGTTGGTCCAAGTTGGGGTCCAAAATTAAACTTTGTTTGATTTCAACAAAAAATGAATATATGGGGTTCTTTGATATGCTGAATCTAAACATGTATTTAGATTTTAAATTTTTGGCCCAGTTTTCAAGTTGGTCCAAATTGGGGTCCAAAATTAAACTTTGTTTGATTTCAACAAAAATTGAATATATGGGGTTCTTTGATATGCTGAATCTTACCATGTATTTAGATTTTTATTTGTGGGCCCGCTATCAAATTGGTTCTAATTGAGGTCAAAAGGGTCCAAAATTAAACTTTGTTTGATTTCATCAAAAATTTAATTATTGGGGTTCTTTGATATGCCAAATCTAACCGTGTATTTAGATTTTTAATTTTGGGTCCCGTTTTTTAAATTGGTTTACATTAAGGTCAAAAGGGTCCAAAATTTAACTTTGTTTGATTTTAACAAAAATTGAATTTTTGGGGTTCTTTGATATGCTGAATCTAAACATGTGTTTAGATTTTTTATTATGGGACCAGTTTTCAAGTTGGTCCAAGTTGGGGTCCAAAATTAAACTTTGTTTGATTTCAACAAAAATTGAATATATGGGGTTCTTTGATATGCTGAATCTAAACATGTATTTAGATTTTAGATTTTTGGCCCAGTTTTCAAGTTGGTCCAAATTGGGGTCCAAAATTAAACTTTGTTTGATTTCAACAAAAATTGAAGATATGGGGTTCTTTGATATGCTGAATCTTACCATGTATTTAGATTTTTTATTTTGTGGGCCCGCTATCAAATTGGTTCATATTGAGGTCAAAAGGGTCCAAAATTAAACTTTGTTTGATTTCATCAAAAATTGAATTATTGGGGTTCTTTGATATGCCAAATCTAACCGTGTTTTTAGATTTTTAATTTTGGGTCCCGTTTTTTAAATTGGTCTACATTAAGGTCCAAAGGGTCCAAAATTAAACTTAGTTTGATTTTAACAAAAATTGAATTCTTGGGGTACTTTGATATGCTGAATCTAAACATGTGTTTAGATTTTTTATTATGGGACCAGTTTTCAAGTTTGTTCAAGTTGGGGTCCAAAATTAAACTTTGTTTGATTTCAACAAAAAATGAATATATGGGGTTCTTTGATATGCTGAATCTAATCATGTATTTTGATTTTGGACATTGGACCATAATAGGTAAATTAAAAAAATTGTTCTTAGACCACATTCTTTCTGTGTCAGAACCTATGCTGTGTCAAATATTTAATCACAATCCAAATTCAGAGCTGTATCAAGCTTGAATGTTGTGTCCATACTTGCCCCAACTGTTCAGGGTTCGACC